GAATTCTGAAGGTCTGTTAAATGGGCTGGGAGTTCTAAACTATAAATGCCAGATATGATTTTGAGGACTGAATGACTAAGATGAGATTCCGGCCTACAGTAGGTGGGCTAACTCATGAAATGTCAACGGAAATTCTAAAATGTATTTTCGTTTCGAAAAGATTAAGTAAGCAGGGTTGAATCATAAATCAATAATACTTCAGTTATCGCAGGATGCCAGCTTTCGATTGAACTCCCTTCCGTCTGCATGCAGAAACAACACTCCGTAAAAATGACTACTTACAAAGCATTAAATTTTCTCAGTGATTTTCGATGTCCCTAAATGTACAATTCTAGTTCATGGGAAAATGCATAAATATATATATCCTTTTGTTCACTCGGTAGGAACTTACGTCTTCTGCCAATTTAATACTCGAAGAAGGGACAAAATTCGGTGTTAAAAAAATTCTAATTGTGGGACGTTCACATACCGTGAGATAGCCGTTCATAAGTCGTCATGTCTCAGCATTTACCAATATGGCTTGTAAAGTTAACAATATGGATCAAATACACTGCTTAATTTTATAAACCCTATATGACCTTCTCTAAATACCGTAAAGAAATGTGTGGTTTCCGTACGCCGAAAATATACGGCTTGTAGCTTGGAATCCCTGAAACCAAATGTGAAGGCAGAGCGGGTTCAAAATTATTCGAGCATTGGGAAAGTTTTTGAAAACCGAATTATACCCTTCCTTCGAGTATAAGATTGGAAGAAGACGTAGTTATCTACCGAATGAGCAAAGGAATAAATATTTTTGTTGCAGTTTTTCCATAAAATATAATTGGACTTTTATGAGAATTGAAAATAAATGAGAAAAATTCGTGCTATTTAAGTAGTCATTTTTTAGAGAGTGCGGTTCCTGCATAAATCCGGAAGGCAGTTCTTTCGAAAGTCGGCATCCTGAGGTAACTGAAGTATTATATAGTTATGTTGCAAGCTGACTAGATTTCAACGCTACTTGATTAATCTTTTCGAAACAAAAACGCATTTTGGAATTTTGGCTGGCATTACATGAGTTAGTCCACCTAATTTACATAATTTTCACCGGGAATGATGGGACAGTGCCTGTAGTGGCGTTGGGAGACTTACAAATGTGGTTGAGTATTTATTTGAGAGGACAAAAGTGGACAGTGAAAGCCCCGCTAACCTGCTGAGCAGTGACAAACATCTCACATGGAACAAGCACTCTGATTTCTGAAGGGGGATTGCAGCTTTACGGAAAGACACGGTTCACAAACTGGCGCTGAACGCTCTTTGATGATTGATCTCTCGTCAGAACTGATGGCGCGTTTTACTGTCTATGAACAGCCTTACGTGGGCTTTCCACAAGAATCCCATGCGATTTCCAGCGTCACTGTGGCAGCGTCCACTCTGTCGTTTATGTCTTGACGCAGGAAATTTTCACCGGTTGAGACGCAATGAGAAAGAATCTTTATGACAACTCATAGAAATCTTCATCAGAAAGGGTTGACTGACGTTCTGTCATTATCATATAGGAACGGTCGCCTAAACCGGTTCCTTTAACTCCTTCTAGAAACTGCAAAAATGTCTGCCTATTTTGATCTCACGTACGGAAAATTAGCCACATAATAAAATTATTTTCCATGATGAATGTTTACTCGAAACATTAATTGGCGCATACATACTGATACATTTGTCCTGAAGCCATCTCCTGGAAAATTTCTGGCAACAGACTGAACAGAGCACAAATGTGAGCAGGTTAACCTGACGACTCAGTCCAATTACAATAAGCCGCGTCGAATTGGAAATTTTTTCCATTAGCATGCCGTTTCTTATCCAGTTTACTTTATTAATAATTGTTGTTTTCAGTATATCTAGCAAAATAATCTTCAATATTTGAAGTTGTGCTATTGCAATTGCACCGTTAGCCGGCCTTATGGGAGACGCAGCTCTCGCGGATTCTGACGTGGAATCAATGCTAGCATCAGACATTGGCAATGAACTGCATTCACCTAGGGCTAATGAACAGACAATCGACGAAGTCCCAGCGAGCGACATGTTTGGAGACTGGGATCAGAATGTGAACAAGTTGGTGGGGTCTGATGATGCCACCGGCCAGACAATGAAGTATGTGTCCTGGTTTTTGTTCTTTCTCCGGGTCCTCATTTTAAACTTTGCTTCCGACTGCAACCTCAAAAAACTCTGCTAGGACATTCCGCAATCAAAGCTGTGGCATGCTTTTAATGTGGTACACTCGATGAAAGTACGTACATCTATCTGCTCACAAATGTTCACACGATAGGTAAACCAGTATTCCCTTCTAGTCCAAAAACATTTCAGAACTTCGGCGACGTGCGCCAGATACTGAATTATTACGAAGGTCGTTTTAGCACGAGTCAATTTTGAAGGACATGGAAATACACAGACAGCCCACAAGAGAGCCAATCAGGGTCTAGTTACGGACGTTGTCATGGTATTCGTTGAAGTGATCTTTTGAAATCAGAGTTTTTGAAACAGAGGCTTTAAAGCCCAAATGCAGCGAATCATGCTGGTCAAACTAAGGTCAGTTCACTGGGTACACTAGCAGTACTGGAGCCCATGTCAATTCCAAAGATATGGCGGAAATAGAGATCTCGCCAAATCTGTAAATTGCGTCCCTCCTGCAGTGATAAACAGTAGTTAGAGGACGTAATACAGTGCTGATTTCATACACACTGTGGAATGCACGCGCACCGATCTACTGAGAGTTGGCGAGATTCCAGATGTTTTCAGGAATTTCTGTTACAGTGGCCATTTGGTTGTCTATTCTACTCAAATAAACAGCCTATTCGTCTGCTTGCATATAAAATAGGTCACTTCTCCTGCTGCTGCTGCTGCTGTTTCTTCTTATTCCACTCCCCTCTTCTGAATTCCTTTATTTGCGAAGGCAACAACAGGATCATTCATCTCAGAAAGTAGCAGGTGAAGGGCAGGAACCAAATGGAGTCAAAGGGACTTTGTTGCCGTCGTCAAGTGAAAGTCTGTACGCTGCTAGCGCCAGAGAAGGTGGGTCATTGGGGCGCAGTCGACGAGCAGCCATATCCATCCAACGTTATCTCTGGCCATCAGGAATCGTCCCTTACGAGATAAAATCAATATTCTCTAGTAAGTTCAATGAACATTCTGATCAGGCCTACTAACGAAAATTGAGCTGCGTTGACTGTGTGGGACATAAAATGCAAAGAAAATGACAATCGAATCTGTGAATAGTGATACATATGCGGACCGTGAAAAACATTCCATATATATACAATAGGTGGGCTAACTCATGAAATATCAACCGAAATTCCGAAATGCGTTTTCGTTTTTTAAAGATTAATTAAGCAGGGTTGTAAAAATAATCAGACTACAGTACAATCTTATAGTAATTCAGTTACCGCAGGATGCCGGAGTTCGAAAGAACTTCCTTGCGGTTGCATGTAAAGACTACACTGTAAAAAATGACTACTTAGGTAACATGAATTTTTCTCATTGAGTTTCGATGCCCTTAAGAGTCAAATTATGTTTGATGGAAAAATGCATAAAAGTACTCATTCTTTTGCTCATTCGGTAGACAATTATGTTTTGTTCCATTTTTATACTTGAAAGAATAATAAGGGAAGGAAGGGTATAATTCGGTTTTTAGAAACGTTTCCAATTCCCGAATAATTTTGAATCCGCTCCGCCGTTACACTTGGATTCGGGGTTTCCAAACTACAAGTCGTATATTTTCCGCATACGGAAAACCACACATTTCTCTGCGGTAAGAAAGGGAAACCATATAGGGTTCATCAAATTTAGCATTGGATTCGATCCATACTGTTAACGTTACAAGCCACATTGGTAAATGCAGCGTCATGACGTTTTGTGAACGACCATTTCACGGTTATAAAACGTCTCACAATTAGAAACTTTTTAAAAACGAATTATATCCCTCCTTTGGGTATAAAATTGAAATAGGGCATAATTTCCTACCGAATGAGCATAAGAAGGAGCACTTTTATGCGTGTTTTCTATGAAGTATAATTTGCCTCTTAAGGGCATCGAAAATCAGTGAGAAAAATAAAAGCTACCTAAGTAGTCATTTTTTACAGAGTGCTGTTTTGCATGTAGCCGGAAGGGAGTTCTTCTGAAAGTCAGAATCCTGCAGTAACTGAATTATTATACAATTATGCTGTAGGCTGACTAGTTTTCAATCCTACTTAATTAATCTTTTCGAAACGAAAACTCATTTCGGAATTTCGGTTGACATCTCATGAGCTAGCCCACCTATTGTATATATGCCAAGTATGCCCGTTACCGACACTGTTGTGGTTGTAATATTGCTCAGTCCCATTACAGCCGTCCGCCGACTTGCGATTGGCGACAACGAACGTTGTGTTACAGGAAGCATGCCACATGGCGGGCTAATGATCAGCAACAACCGCAAACCGACTGTTTCCAACTGGTCTGTTAAGCCAAAAATGAGCTCTCTGCGTATTGTATATGTGTATTAACATATCTGCATAATACAGATAACCCAGTTGTGAAAAGCTCGGTAGTTTCGGTGAGGTTCATAACCACTAAGACAAATGCAAGTCTTGTGTACAGTCGACGCTCTACTGGCCAAGGCCAGAAAAAGCCCGACTGAAATTCGTGAGCTTAATCAAATTTAGGCGAAGTTATCCGCTTGATAATTTGTCGATGATTTTTTAAAGATGGGCCATATATATATATATTTCGGTTCTGACCCTAAAAAGTAATGTCCGGGAGATTTAACTCCGAGTCCTGCACTGAGTAATTTCTGAAATTATTTACTATATATATATATATATGAAGACAGAAGGCTCGTCGGAAAAAATCGAGTTTTACTCGTGAATTTTCGAGCTGGTGACAGCAACCCGTCGTCAGACGAAATAAACAGAGAAGAAAGTGAAATGGTTCGACCAAATTGGTTGGCGTGACAGGGCAGCCAATAATAGGAACTAATGTATGAAAATGGGGATGGTGACATAATTAGGCTAGGGTCTGTGGTGGGGGAGGGAAGGGGGAACTGTTGCGGCTCCGTGATTTAGAAGGTAGGGGGGAAGGGGGGATGACGATTCAATGTGACCTCGGACGGTGGACTTAATGATCGTCGATCCGGCATGCGGGTAGGAGTCAGTGATCCAACGTAGAGGTGTTAGAGATTGCGTTTGCGGTTCCCTGTGTCTGGGGTAGGGAGGGGGGGGTGGCGAAATAGTCCGATTATACAGGGCCCGGTATGGATTAGCGGCTGTTGTAAGGTCGTGGTTGGCCTGTTTTCCTTTATACTACATGACCTGGCGATTGAGAGCGTAACCCGACGCCTGCAAGATAATCCAACCAGCATACCAACACAACACGTTTCAGAGATTCTTAAACTCTGTCTTTATAACTGCTGCCAATTCGATGAAAAGTCTCATCACTAGGTTAGGGGTACACCAATAGGGTCGCCAATATCAGATCCACTAGCTGCACTAGTACTACAACAACTAGAACAGGAAGTTATGTGAACCTTTAAACCAAAAATGTAGCTCCAATATGTAGATGATACGTATGTTATCATGGAGACCTGCGAAATTGAACAATTCTATTTGAGTCTGAATAACGTCTTCCAGCTATCCAGTTTACTCGCGAAGAGGCGACAGGAGGCATTCTCCCATTTTTTGACGTTAGTTTCCGAACGCTCAGTGATGGCGGCCTTGCAACGAGCGTCTAACGAAAAGAGTCCAGTGCTGAAGTTATTCTTATTTACGAAAGCAACCATCCTGCGGCTCATAAAAGGCGCTGTGTCCGAACCCTTTTCCATCGGGCTTATCGTTACTGCAGCAACGATGATTTACTTAAGAAAGAACTTGCTTTCCTGTATCGGTTATTCCGACTCAACGGATATCCAGTCAGTTTTGTGAAAAATTGTCTCAGACAACAGAGACAGACGCAAGACGTTAGTTCTAATGAGGGACCCGAACAACGGAAATTCTACTCCCTACCCTACATGCAGGGTATTTCCGAGGCGATCGCCCGACAACTAAACCGGTTTGGTATCTTCATTGACCACAAGCCGGCGCGCAACACTGTCCCATGTGAAATATCCTTTATCCACAGAGCAGCAAACTAATGTCATCTACCGAATTCCGTGTGCTAACTGCTCTTGCGACTATGTTGGTCATACAGGCCGACGACTTGAAACACGTATAAACGAACATAAACTAGCCATCCGCCGACGTGACCCTTTGTCACTCGTGTTTGCGCACGCCCTTGAATGCGACCATCGCTTCAATTGAGAAGGAACTTAAATCGTTGCCATGGCAAACACCATACAGGCTCGAGAATTCCTCGAAGCCTGGCACTCTAACACAAATAGCATCAATCGCCATGTCGATCTAGACGCCCATTTTGACAGTACTGTCAAAAGTCTGATACATCGAGCAAAAACACATTGCTCTGGTGAAGAAAGCTACAAAGTTGAACTAAACTACCTATTTGAATTATTTTCCCAGAACGGATACCCGCGAGATTTCGTACGTCGATGCATGAAACAACAAGAGATAAAAACAAAGGAACTAGATAGTTCCAATCAAGCGCCCAAAGCAAACACTTGGCGAATCCTTCCTTACATCAGAAATGTGTCTGAACTTGTTGAAAGACACTTGAGGAAACACCGGGCTTATCGCTAATTAAGTAATCATTTTACAGAGTATGTTTTTGCATGCGGCCGGAAAGACGTTTGTTTGAAGGCCGACATCTCGAGGTAACTGAATTATTATAGAATTTTGCTGAAAGATGATTAATTGTACAACCCTGCTTAAGTAATCGTTTCGAAACAAAAACTTATACCAGAATTTCGGTCAACTTTTTGTTAGTCAGCACATCTACTCTAGATGCCGGAAAAGGGGAACCGAGATGACTATTTCTGTCTTAGCGTTTATATGTTTGTGCCAAACTGATGCTAGAGCACACACATTTTATTGAATTTATCTGGTGCTTAAAAGATAGAACGAGTCTTCTGGAGGCAGATGAGGATGAAATGCGGATTAGATTAATGTGATAGTACTAATAAAATAGATGAGAATTCCAGGACATTTCATGAGGTCGGTCACTCACGGTAAACATTCAGTTGGGTGAACCACTTGGTATTTGCGCGTCAATGAGCCTAACGCAATGACAGAAGCTGGTTTCATTAAATGGCTAACAAGTACCACTCATTGTCAGTGCCTATGCATGTAATCAATGAAAGAATCAGGCAACTGCATATAAAGGAGCCTACGCAACGGAATTTCTCAGAAAGACCTATCTTCTCACAGCTTAAACACAGCAAGGGGCCAAGGGGTCACCTGAGAGGATTGGTGCGAGACAAGAGTTTATTTGCAACAGTTGTTGCCAGCTGCACAATTAATGTACTATATGCATGTTCCAATTTCATCCAGGTTCCTCCGTAGCAACCATCATGAAGGGCATGCGAGCGTGGGAAAACATTTCGTGCGTCACGTTCGTTGAACGGGAGCCCCACCACCATACCTACATTATCTTTAGAATCCTGGCATGTGGGTGAGTGCCTTCTACTTCTTCGCCTCTCATCTTTATTTATCAGGTATTGCCTGTTTACTTTTTTACCGTCAGCGGCAACATAGTCACTGAGCATTTTTGATCTTTTTTCCAAAAAAATATTACGTGCGGCAGAAAGAAGTGTTATTTCAAACGAAAAGCGAAACTGACATTCCAGACACCATCACTGCCCTATACCCCTGACCAACCGCATAATGACGCTTTTGTGCGCTTTTGGTTTACTCATTCGCCTGTTCGCGCATTTTGGCACAACAACGTCGGTGCCATTAACAGCGAATACGAAAGTCGCAGATTGTAAACTGTTGTAATTGTTCTGGTGTTTCGCACTTACGAGTCCATTGTTGATATCAGATGCGGCGGATAATAATTCTGCAGACGTGAGCGGGAGCTTGAAGCATCAAATGGTTGACCGGCTCAAGTAGTGGATTCGTGCAGGGAAGAGAAAGTAGGAAATGGGGCCGACACTTCCACGGCGCTTCAGATCGTTGCCCGCTATAAAATGTTCGACGTACTTTGTGAATGTAGAGATGAGCTAATAATGCATGACTTGAAAGGCCGTCAATTGAAACACTAGCTCAGGTCCCGCAGGCAGAACGATCAGACCGCAACGGTTCCCTCTTAATGTAGACTCTACGGCACTCCCTCGCAACTGGGATCCGAGTCCTCACTGAGAAAACGTAGCCCCTCGGGTGCGAATGAGATCGTGTGTGGCACGCGTATATGCGCGAATTCTAGTTATCAGCTCCTGCGTCCGGGCACGTCTTCAGTCCTCATGATCCTGTCTGGGCTCCGAGCCCAAGTGAGCGGAGAGAGTGGAGTGTGTTCAACGCTTAGAAGGACTGCTATCACTCTATTAGGAGCATGCCAGCGTCCCCTGACTGTCTCATGGCGCTGGCAGGCGGTGAACATCGTCGGGTTGAACAGCCCTTCAGTAAGAAATTGACAGGCTCGCCTTAGGAACGTCAGGATTCCGTGTGAGGTAGCGATGCAGTTTAATGCCGACAAACAAGAAAATCCGCCCCTTCATACATTCATGAACATCAGTAGACAGTAAAGAGGCCAGACTGCTTGTCTGAAGTACTCATGCATGCGCTGGACACTGGGCATACGATCGCTGGCGAAAAACTCACATTCCGGTGCCAGGTGTTTCAAGAATGGCTGAGAGTTCCCCCAAGCCAACCAGTCGATGCCGCGCACAAAAGTCGCAAAGAGAAATATAACAAACGAGGACCATTCAAAACAGAATGGCAGACACGGCGACAGATCACTGGCGCAAATATCAAATAAGTATCGATCAGTTTAGTGGACGGAGAACGTTAAATCTTCTTGACGCCAAGACAGATGTGAGTCCATCGGCGTCCCCCTCCTTTGCAAGTAGACCCTAACCGTTTAATGTGAAGGCCTTAAAACACAGTTTTAGGAGCTCGATGATATGCTCTCGTTTGAGCTGTTGGTCAGTCCTATCATATTTATCTCGGAGACAGCCATCGATAGAACTGACAGTCGGAGCGAATAGGATAGAGGTAAGTAACGAGACCACATCGAATGATATCATTACCCCCTCTGCCCCTCTGTAAGATACGCGTCAAATCTCTTCAGCCGACCTCCCTGTTCACCCCGAATCCTTGGTAAGGAAACAAACTTGCTGGTGCAGCCATTTCGACTAATAAACTTCTGGGGTGCTACGTAAGGAGATGACGAGATGAGCACATTCGGCAAACCGTGGAAGCATACCATCGCAGCATCAGTGGTTTTTCTGGCCAGTGCTCCCTTCCTCGTGAGAACCCCCGTCTTCTTCAGTTCATCTTTCGTTTCGTTAATGCTGTTTACGAGCTTTTTGAACTTACTGGCTGTCGATGGCGCGTCAGACTCCCTGTCCATCAAAAGGACCTGTAGCTTAGTTCAGTATTCGGTCTTGTTCTTGAAGACCGTCGAGCGGCCCTTGTCAACGGAGAGGATGATGCTACCCTCAACTTTACATATGCGTCGAATGTCCTCGACTCTATGCTTTAGAAATCGTCATTTTGGCGTTTATGCCGATGCAGTAAAATCGAAACTGGCTGCTGCATGGCCTTTTTGCACTCCTCACCTGCCTAACCCTTCTGGAGCGCCGATTCGAGGAATGGAAAGAAGTC